CGCCGGCCGGCGCCCGCGGGCTGGACCTGGCTTCCTTCCCGCTGCCCCTCGGCCAGCGTCCAGGGGCTCCTGGGACGGCGGCTGCCGCCTGGCGTCTGAGCTCCTCCCCGAGCCGCCGCTCTTGAGGAGCAGCCCGTTTGCTTCGAAGGTGCCCGCCCTTGAGGGTGACGCGGCCTGCGGGCCCCCCGCCGTGGGGTGCGGGAGTCCAGGGGCTGCGGCTGGCCCCTGCTCCGTGCGCTGACGCGCCCCGGGCGGGAGCAGCGCGAGCCCGCGCGCACAGCCGCCGCCTGACCCGGAGACCCTCCCGGGCGGCCTGGTGCGGTCAGCGGCGTGGCGAGGGGTCACGGCCGCCTCCGGTGCGGGGGAGGCTGGGTGGCAACTGTTGGGGACCTTTGGCTGGGGCAACTTCCGGGGGGCTGTGCCCGGGGTCGCGGCTCTGTGCTTGGGGCTGTCCCCTGCACGCGTCGCCGGCGGGCGCAGGGCTGGGCGCTTTGCGGGCAGAGGCCTTCCCCGGCGGCCCGCGCCAGCGCCGTCGGGTCCTTGGAGCACGGAATCAGCGGTGCCAGAGCAGAAGTGGGGGGCGGCGGGTCTGCGGGCCCCTTCCTGGGTTCCGGGGTGCTGGCGCGGCCTGCATCTGCCCAGCACCACGGGCCTGTGCCCTGACTGCCCCTCCGGCCCCCGCCCAGCCTCGCAGCTGGGTCCGGACAGGGGGGTGAGATGCGTCTGCTTCTGCCCTGGCGTGGGGGTGTTTGCGCGCCAAGCGCCTTTTAGCGTTATCTCCAGTTACCACAGGCCAGCCCCTACCGTGGGGGCGCCACTCCCGCCTGGCCGGCGCCCCATGGCCTGTTGGGCTGACGCTGGGCGGCGCCGCGCTGCCCCAGTGTCCTGGGCCCGGGCTCCGTGGCGGCCGCTGGATCGGCTCGCACACACCGAGCAGGGCGATGCCGGGGCTCAGGCCCCAGGGCCTGCTGCGGGCCGTGCTGGTTGACCGGACCTTGCCCGCTGGTCATGTCTGGAAAGAGGAGGCGAGCTCGGGCCCCTCTCTGGCACTCGGGGGGCTCCCGGGGGACCCCAGTGCCGTCACACGGAGCCCAGGGTTCCGCTCTTACAACACAAAGTAAGCTCCGGGGGTGCCCCAGTGGGGCTGGCGCCCTCCAGGAGGGATGAGTCGCCCACGGTGCCACCGGGGCGCCACCCCCAGGGACCTCAGGCAGACGCGGCAGGAGGCCCTGGCCAGCGGCACCGCCGGGCAGCGCCGCACAGTCGCTGCCGGAGACCGGTCCTAGCAAGCTGACCTCCGGGGCCCTGTCGGTCCAGCGGGGGCCAGGGCGGGACGGCCGCGGGCGTGGTGGGCCCAGCCGGGGTCGCCCCAGCCCTCGCGGCTCCCTGGCGCACTCCTGGCTTTCGGCGCCAGAGGAGGTGGGCAGCCGGCCGCCGTCTGTCCGCTCGGGATCCGCTCCCTGCCCGCGTGGACTTCGCTGTTGGCGTGGCCGGCCGGCCAGGCAGGTGACGGCCACGGAGGGTGGGGGCGTGTTCAGCCCAGGCGGTGCGGGGTTCAGGCATTGGGCGAGCGGGTCCCCCACCTGCCGACCTCTGCCTGGGCGGCCCTCGCTGCAGCCTCCGGCCCGGGTGCGGCTCTGTCCCGGTCACGCCAGCCTGGTGGGCGCCCAGCTGCTGGCGCAGCAACGCGTCCCCTCACTGTCCCCTCCGGTGGGAAGCCCAGCCCTGGCCGGGGCCTCCTCGCCCCGCTACTGGCAGGGCGTCTCCCGCGGGGACCCCACGCCCCCACCTCCGCCTGCCTCCAGGCCCAGCCAACCCTGGCGCAAGGACCGCGTGGCCCTGCCTGCCTGTGCGGGCTCCAGCCCGGGTCCGGGGCGCCCAGACGGCGGGGTACTGGGTGCCGCCGGGGCTGGGGGCGTGGGCCGGGCCGAGCCTGGTCGCCGAGGCTCGTGTCTGCTGCCGCCCAGCCAGTCCAGGGCCCCAGAAAGCAGGAGAGGCGGGGCTGGGTACCGGCAGTGGGGGGTGGGCTTGGGTCTCCACGAGCCCCAGCTTCCGGTGTGCTCCTGCGGGGGCTGCGGGGTGGGTGCGTGTCCCAGCCCGGGAGCTCGTAGCCGCCCCGCCAGGGGCCCGGCCCAGCGGGGAGCCAGGGGACCTGCTGCCGCACCGCGGGGGGCGGCGCCTGAGGGCCTGCAGGAGAGACCTCTGGCCCAGACTCACCAGCCACCCTGGCCCTGGCAAGGGTCAGCGAGGAGGGGATGGTGAGGGGACACTGCTGCGGTCGGGTGGGGGGGGCGCAGAGGGCAGTGTGAGGAGGGCTGGGAGGCCTCGGGGCCCTTGGGACTGGGCAGGGGCGGGGGCAGGCAGGCAGCAGGTGCGGGCCACTGGGCACCTGGCTCTGGGCTGCCCCAGAGACAGCAGGGGGTGTGGGGCCGGGGCAGCTCTGGATCCTGGGGTCCTGTCTGGCTCCCGGGCCATGCACTGCCCACCCCCCACCACAGCTCCAGAGCGTGGAGTCCCACCTGCAGACCTGAGTCTGGGGAGCGGGGCCAGAGGCGGGGGCACCGCTGCAGGCCTTGTGGCATCGGGGAGCCGAGCACGGGGCTCCCTGGCCCAGCTGTCCTCCTGCTGGCCAGAGGCAAGGTGGACGAAGCTTCACCCTGGGCAGGGAGGCCCTGCCCATGGGCCAGGCTGGGGGTGCTGGGGGAGGATGTGGGGGCCTCCTGCGTCCCTGAGTGTTGCAAGCCCACCGAGGGGTGCGCGGAGCCTGGGGTCTGGAGTCCGAGTCTGTTTATTAGGAGCCCCGTGGGTACATACAGGGTCTGTGCGTGCAGGGAACAGCAGGAACTGCTGCAGCAGGGCAGAGCACACTGCTCTCCTGGCTTGTTTGTCGGCTTACGGGGGAGTGCACACCCCACACCCCACGGTCTCCACGCTCAGCATCAGCCAGGGCTGCCGGGGAGTGCGCACCCCATGGCAGCATCAGCCAGGGCACACTGGCCCCCTGGAGGCCTGCACAGTTAGCTGCACCTGACAGGGTGGGGCTGCCCCACGGAGCCCCAGAGCTGAGGGCTAGGGGCATCCCGTGGAGGGTGGCCCTGTGGGCCGGAGGGGCGGGGAGCCGCACCGGCTGTCCCGTGGGCAGGCGGGGCAGGTGGGCCCTAGTAGATGGACCTCACCGCATGGAAGGGGGTGGACGCGCCGAGCCCCACCGCGAGCCCGGCGGTGCGTGGGCCGGGCGGAGCCATGGGCCCCGTGGTTTGTGTTTACGGTGGTATTCAGGGGTGACGGGGGACGGGGGCAGGTGGCCTTTCGGGGGGGTTGAGAACAGGTGGCCTTTGCGGGTGATAGGGGGTCGGGGGCGGGTGTCCCAGGGATATGGGGGTTGGGGGCAGGTGGCTTTCTGGGGAGATGGGGGTTCGGGGGCAGGTTGCCTTCTGGGGCGGTGGGTAACCTTCTGGGGGGGGTC